ATTTTGTTGTTCCCTTTCTTCTTTCCCTTGAAAATTTTGGGAGAATTTTTCTGTTGAAAACACAGACAGTGAGTGAAAAAAATAAAAAGTGAAAAAAAAGAAATGAGAGGAATGAAATGGAATCACCTTTTTTTTCATGGTGATGTGAGAAGTGAGCCAGGCAAATGGAACTGGCTGGGAATTGGAAAGGGTGCCTGGCACTGGTTGCATGGGAAGAGCAGGAACATGAACCAGTTTGCTGGGCAGGATTGAACATGGAGGCAAAAAAGGAGGAAAATTTTCTATACAAGGAAACTGAAATCAGCATCCTGTGATGAAAACACAGGAGACAAGGAGCTAGAGTGTGAAGGAAGAAGTATATGTTTAAGAAGCACTTCCAGAGTTAGAAATCACTAACAGCAGCAGCTTGTGTAAGGCAGTGGTGGACACTGCGTGGAGTAACCTTTCTCCAGACCCTTTGGCTCTGAGTTCTGAACAGCAGACAGGCAGCCACAGGGTTTATATGTGGAAAAAAACCCTTGCAGCATAAAACTGCCTTGTAGCAACGTATTTCCTCCAGGTTTTTCCAATAAATTTGGTGCAATACTGAGTAACAATCCTCTTTGTGAGACCTAATGTATTCATCTCATGTTGGATCCAGAATTCCTTCGCCTTCCTGTCTGAAATATGTTCCATGACTCAAGTAGGTTTGTCTTGTCCATCAGTGGATAATCTTTGCAACATCTTCACTGTCTATCTTTCTCTCCTAAAGTTAAGAAGCAGCTGATCTTATTCTACATATCAACTTCCCGGAGTTTCACAGTGCAGTAACAGAAGGGATGGCAGGGAATGAAAACGGGAACCTGGTCTCAGTGCTCACCACAACTGGCTGTGGGTTGGCCCACTGCAGTTGGAGTGACGCAGCTGATGTTGAACACGACTGGGATTAGGAAGGGGTTTAGTGGGCTGGATAAAGAGTCAGGTGTGGAAAACTGAAAGTGGTTGGGCAAAGGGTTGGAATTGTGTGCAAAGGAGATCCTCCTTCTCAAAGGAGCCTGTGACCTGGACATGCAGAACTGGGGAGAAAGACTGAGCCTGGGGCTCAGGAATGGAAAATGGAATCTGAGAAAAATGAGAGCAGGATAAATTTCTGGGACTGGGAAAAATCAGGGCAGTCCTAGTGGGAGAGGATAAGCAGAACCAGTCAAACATGACAAAAAGAACAGAACACTTTTCTGCAGTCATTAGAGTGTATTCCCCATCTGATCCTGGACTAAAAGGCACAGATGCCCATGACTATGATTGATGCATGGCTAGACTATCATAACCTGTGATCATCTACTTAGAGATGATCTCACTATGGATCTGCAAAATGGCATTAAACTCATTAATTAAGACTGTGCTTAATCCTGGCATTTCCCAACTTCACTAGGCTTGACCTCACCACACTAATACACTCTTTACAGTGCTCTAGAAACCACAGATATACTATAAATGTATATAGCATTAGTCTCAGATACTCTCTACTTTTAAAAAAATGAAATTAAAATATCCTTTGATTTTAAATATGGATTTAGCCTGTATGAATTTTCCTTCTGATTTTTCCTCTTTTATACAAATAATTGTAAAAGTGCATTATAAAGCAGTTTGTCAGCAGTAATTATGACTTACAGAATAGTCCCAGGCGTATGAATGTTAATTATGACTTCTTATTAATAAATGCATTAGCTGATCATTCATTTTATAATTACTTTTCAAGGATCTAGCCCATCCATGTTAGCTTTGAAAAAATCCCACTGAAATCTACTGGAAGGACTCTCAGAGCACACTGCTGATCCTAGACACAAGCTGTGTCTTACTCATTAGCATTTCTTTTCAGTCATGAAAACTGCCTCACAAAGCAACCAAAGGGCTTTGAAAAAATGAAAACTTTTGAGACATGTGATTAAAGTTTGAAACATTGAAAAGTGGCAAGATTGTGGATGCTACAGGTGGTTGCATACAACTGAATCTGATTCTGTGATACTCTGTGAATTCACCTTATTGTTTAAATCATGTATAATTTTCTTGTTTTACTTTTAAAAGCAATCTTTCTTACGTATAACCTTTCCTCCCCAGTTATCTCATCCATGCTATGTACTACATAAATATTTGTCTTCTGTAAAACCAGTCTTGGCAATCCTTCCTCACTGACTCACTTATCTCTTTCAAAATGTCTCTGCTTTCATTACTTCCACAACTTTCAGGATTGCTATGAACTTGCCATATAGTTTATTTATTCTTCCTGGTAATGGCCACAAAAACAGAAACACAGAAAAGAGATTTCCAGCTTAGTCCTCTGATCTTTGGAAGGTCTTTTCCCTTGTCTTCCAGCCTTTGATACCTTCTGTGGCACTGATTGCTAGGGGTTAAAAGAAGTTTGTTTGTGATTACTTTATTGTGTGTATTCAATTAACTTCAAATGCTTTTACTAGTTATCAAGAGTTTGCATGCCTAGGAGGCATTGGCTTGTCCTGTGGAAAGTGGCTGAGGGAGCTGGGGGTGTTCAGCATGGAGAAAAGGAGGCCATGGGGAGACCTTAATCACTCTCTATAACCACCTGAAAGGAGTCTGTAGCCAGGTGGGGAGCTGGGTTCTCTCTAGTAACAAGGGATAAGATGAGAGGATAGTCCTAAGCTGCACCAGGGAAGGTTTAGGTTGGACATTAGGAAGAGTTTCTTCACAGAAGGGGTGATTAGACATTGGAATGGGCTTCCCAGGGAGGTGGTAGAGTCAATGTCCCTGAAGGTGTTTAAGGAAGGACGGGACATGGCACTCAGTGCCTTGGTCTAGTGAACAGCTCATTCATAGGCTGGACTCCAGTCTAATTGATTTAGTGATTATTAGAGGACTGTCGCTCTGAAAACTCAGCTTCTGAGCTTGCTGACATCGTTTTCTAAAGACTTTCCCAGGACAGTAACTGTAAACATAGATATGTGTACATTCTTTCTGTTACACGTCTTGTGATGGGCATCTCTCATGGCCAGTGCTGTGGGAAAGTGTTATCCTGACCATCCAATCCCTGGCCGTGGTCAGAAACCTATAAATCCTGGGAGGAAAAATAAACTCGTTCTTCTTTTCACCACACCTCGACCTGTGTCTGTGTGATCTATTCAGCACCAGCGGCAACAGAGGACATTCACGTTTTTTGTTACATAAGGTGACCCACAGTCCTGCAAGTCTCCTCCAGGACCTTTGCACGGGCCCAGAGGAACCCTGCAGCTGGTTTACAGGCGCAGACCAACACTGTTTCTGTCTTTGGCCGCACCAGCCAAAGGGTGTGACTGAACAGTGGGCTGTGAAGGGCTGGAGGCCGAGGGGATCCCCTTGCACTGGGAGGATGGAGCCCTTCTCCTGGGGGTGTTCAGAGAGGCAGCCTGCCCCGGGCTGACTATCGTGAGCGGCTGCTGCGATACAAGCGATGCGGCAGCGCATCGTGGCTTTGCCAGGGCCCTGTGCCAAGCCTCTCCCTCACGGACGGCACATGGCGGAGTGTCACACCTGACGTCCCTTCCCCACGAAGCGGGTGGCAACGCCACTGTTCCCGCACGTCCCGTTCCCCGCCAGGGCCGTCACTCGGGTCCCTGCAGGAGCACCCGATCCCAGCGGAGAGATTGACGCTCTACTCCCAGAGCAACCCAGCTGTGGGGCGGCGCCCGGGCGGGACGCCTCGACCTTCACGGGAGCCGCCCCGCGGGCCCGCCCTCAGGCCCGGCGCAGGGCGGGCGGGTGAGGCGGCGCCGGCCATTGGGAGGCGGGCGGTGACCGGCGCCGAGCTGCCCCGCCCCGCCGCTATATGAGGCGGGGGGGCGGGCGGTGGGGCGGGCCAGAGCGTGTGCGGGCTGCGAGGTGAGCGGGGAGGCGGGAGCGAGTGAGGCGGTGCGAGGCCGGCGGACCGCGGGCCCCCGCAGCGCGGCGGCCGCCGCAGGCGCGGGAGGCGGAGGAGGTGAATCCCCCGGCAGGGAGGAGCCGCTGCTTGTCTCTTCTTTCCCGGTCCGTTGCCCCGCTCGGGGAGCGGTGGCGGCTGTGCCCTTCTTCCCCCGGGAGGAGCTTCCTGCCCATCCCTGGCAAGGACGCGATGGAGGGCTCGCCCCGGCTTCCCCGGCGGCGGGGGCTGTCCCGGGGAAAGGCGGGTTCTGCCCTGGTCGCCCGCTGGGGCGATGTGGTGCGGCCTCCCCGGCGGCGGGCAGGCAGAATTGTGGTGTCATTGCTTTCCAGGAGCAGGTGTTCGTAAGTAGTTGAAGCTGAAGGTGGCCGAGCATCTCTTGCAGAAACTCTCTGCTCAAGGTTACAGCCCCTCCCATGGAAGCCGGTGTCTTGCCGTGACACAGGGACGTCTTTTGGATGGGTGTAGGCAGGGACCAGTTTCTCGCGAAGAATAATGCTCTAAGCCAGCTGTTTACTTTATCAAACATTTTCCTTTTTTTTTTTTCCTTTTTTATTTATTTGTTTTTATTGATTTGTTTTTAAGTTCTCGGTTGGATTGCTTCGGAGGTCATGAAAGGGTAAAATCGATTTAATGGGAGTGAGAAGAGGGGCTGTACCTCCAGGCATGCCACTTCTAAATATTCATTCAGGCTGCAGCCCGGATGCCAGGCTGGCGGCGTGATTTGCAATTGCTTGCTTGCAGTTTTTTCCCCTGTGGGTGATGTGTGCAGGAAACCTGCCTAGTTTTATATGGTCACTATATTGGGTTTCTGGAATCGTCCCCCGTACTGTTTAATTCTGCCTATGTAAAGGATTTTTGGTGTTTGGTTGGGTGGGGAGGCTTCGAACAATACGAAGTTTGCCTTGCTTTGAAATTCTTGCTACAGATATTTTGAAAGGGAGAGAGAAGCGTGGAAAAATTGCAGTCGGTCCTTCCCGAGGCTCAGTTTTGTGGCTACGTGTCTTAGTACGTGATGTGACAAGAAAAGCCGTAACTTGAAAAGGGGGTGCAGGGTGTAAAAGAGCTAAATAAAAGAGTTTCTTCGCAGCTCCATCCATTTCAATGGTGCAGCTTTCCCAGGCCCCTTTCCATCGTCCATCATCACCTTCAGGCCGGTCGGAGGAAGGGGAGGAGAAGAGGATGAAGGCGGCTAAGCAGCAGGTGACCCCGACTGGGGAGAGCCCGGCTCCCGCCAGCCCCCTGCAGTCCGCGCTGAGCACGGCGGCCTCTCCTTCCCAAGCGTATGAGACCTACATCGACAACGGGCTCATCTGCCTCAAACACAAGATCAGGAACATCGAGAAAAAGAAGGTAACTTGGCTTTCTTGCCCATGGCACCTATTTAAGCTGTTGATAGTAAAGCTCATTGCCTTTAAAATAATATTTCCTGTTATTTCCATTATTTTTAATAGCTGGAATAAGGTTATGTGTTTCTATAGAGAGCAAATGTATGTTGATCAAAACAGAAGATGCTTCTCTGGAGAAAATCAGTTCAGAACATACTTGGATCTGATTTAAATGTGGTTTATAGTTTTGCAGAAACCTTTCACCAATTATATGCATCTGATACTAATTTAGATGTAAATTGTTTGTAAAATTGGAAGTTAGAACAAGTGTTCCCTCTGACAGCGGAAATGTCAGATTATATAAAACATGTATTGCCCTTTACCTAAGTATCTGACATACATATTTTAAATACAGGCAAATGTTACTTATTAGAAAACCTTCATGCAGAAATCCTCCAAAATTTGATCTCCTGTTTTGACCTCTGCTTTTCTGAGGTTGGGGCACAGAACAGTGTTAGTAAGAATAATAACTGAGATAATGATACACCTAGAATGTTGTAGCTGTGCTAGTCAGACTTCTGCACTCTAAGGCTTTTCAGATGATTGGCAGGTGACTGAAGGCTTAGTGCTTGGTTTTGAATTGAGAGAATAATATTTTTGTAGGATAAAAGGTATAATGGTGCTGTTTCTGTCAATGCTGGATCAGGATTACAAGTAAAGCAATTGTGTCAATATACTGTGCTGCTCTGAATGTCTGAAAAGCTTTCAGTTATGTCTTAGGGCAAGGAGAGAGAGTAGATCAGACATCTGGCCATGTGCTTAGGGGACCTGATCCTCCTGCAGGAGATGCAGTATTACTGCTGTCTCATGTCATGCATCATGCTGTAATTTTGAATAACATCAGACAAGTATGTTTCCTTTGTGTAATTAAACAATTTTGTGTTGTATTCTATTTCTGTCCAAGGAACCTTTTTGTGGTGAATTTCTCTAGTACCTTTTATTTTCACAAGAATTACTATGTGGCCTCATCAGCAAAGAGGTGTGACTTAGTAAGATGAGTAGAAAGTATTCTTAGTCTTATGCTCCTATATATATGCTCCTGTGTCAGTGAAGCTCTAGATACACAAATGGAATAATACTTGACTTCATGGCAGTGAAGTCACCTTTTTTCCCCTAAAGAAGTTTGCGATACCAAATAGTTTAGTTTTGTACTGTTTACATTAGCATTTAAAGACTGCTTTGGTATATTGGAAATAAATCTTTCTTCCCTGAGTACACTTCTCTGCTTTTTTAGGGAACAGGGCTATAAATTTTTGATGTAACTAAAGCCAAATTTTTGAAAGACATAAGGATTATTCAAGGAAAATATAAGTAAATTCTGTCATTGACTTGGTAAAGCTAAACAAGCCTAACTTAAACGAGGACACTGGGTGTATTTGAAGCCACTTAAAGATCTTGGATCAATGCATTAATAGTTCTTAAATAAAACAAAATGAGCAAGTAAGAGCTGAAAGATCAGTGGTAGTGAAAGGAAATAGACAGTCCTGCAGACTGAAATTGCCAAATCAAAGGCATAGCAAAAGCTGTGTTCCTTTCTCCAGAAACAAGAGGAAGTAGGAGGCTTTATGTTGTGTTACAGTATTTCACTCATACTCTTTACTTAATTTCTATATTGATTTCTGTATAATGTTTACTTTGAATTTTCTGCAGCTCAAACTAGAAGACTATAAAGATCGTCTGAAGAAGGGAGAAACCCTCAATCAAGACCAATTGGTAAGCTTGCTTTTTTTGCAGGAGTGAAAGGCTTCAAAACCTTCTGATGTGGCAGGAAGGATGGGTTGCTGAAGGAGATGAGGGTGTTTTTACAGAAGCAGTGCCTGCAGGCTTGTGAAGGTATCTTTCACAAAACCAAATTAACAAATTGTTGGTAATCGGGCTGAATGTTGAGCCCACAAGCTCTGTCTCCTGTTTTAATCTTCATGGTGTTCCCTGAAGTAAAAGAAGATCCCTGTTTATCTTTGTTCTGTAGACTTTCAGCTTCAGTGCTCCTGCAGCTGTGTTTCTTAATGAGGTAACTGTGTGCAGCTGAACTATATGGCAGTGCAGTGTTAGAACCCAAGCCTCAAGAATTTGGAGGTGGCTAATTAATCCTCATGATTTCTTCAGTAGCAGCTATTACTTGAAATTGCCTGTTGTCTGCACAGTACTGTTGGTTACAAGTAGCTGTTAATATAACTGACAGTGCTGGCTTTTTTGTTTGTCTTGGTCTAGAATGGATTCTAGATCTGAAACCAAGTTTCTGTAACATGAAAGCTTTAGCAAAGCTGAGTAGTGTCACATAATCCAAAGAGTTTATTCCTCTAGTAATCTAGGGGTCACATTTTTAAAATGTAGTGGACATGCTAAAGAGTAATTGTTAGATGAGGGGTACTGACACTTCAGTGATAGTGCTGATCCTGCTAGTGAACCAGCTGGAAAAATGACATTGATTACAAACTTTATCACAGTACAGCAGTGTGAGAATACAAATTCTATTTTCTTACTGTAAATTACTTTTAAAAGAGTTAGATGTAAATGGGATAAGAGGGGAAAATGGTAACTTCTTAGAAGTAAACATTTTGGAGAAAATTGTCATTTAGTACTTAACTCCAAATTCTGATGTGATCTCTTGCCATTTCAAGTGCAAAAGTAAATTAATTAAATCTGATGGTTTGGAGTGGGTTGATGACCTTTCAATTCCTCTCAACTCAATCTGGAATCAGGTGGGCAAAAACTATTTGTGTTTAGATCATAAGTGTTCTTCACAATCTGTTTGCTGCCATGATCAGTGAGACTATTGAACAATGTTCTGGAAGTTGGAATAGTCTTGAATATATTGAATACTTTGGTATATGTCCTGGACTGCAAAAAGCTGTTAGGTGACAGTGTTTGGAAGAGGGCATTAACTTTGTTACTGGATTTTAGTATTCCTAGCTGGGCTTCATTTTTTAAATTTTAGTATCTTCATCCTAGTTTCTGGAGTTTCTTAGGCTACTAAAATGAAGAATTAGATTCAGTCTTCATAGTGAACTGACAAGTGGTATCAGACTGTTCAGTTGACTATTGTAGAAGCCCATATACACTCAATATTTAATTAGTCTTGTGCAGTGCCTTGCTTCAGTGGTTAAGATACAGAAATACTGCATTTATAACTTTCAGATGCAAATTTGTGCTGTATATATAAATTGAATCTGGAGTAGAGTTGAATAGATCTTAGCACCTAAAGAAACCAACTGCCTATAATACAGTGTGGTGCTCTAATATAACTTGATGTCATCTATAGTTTTAATTTTCTCACACAGAAGTCCATGTCTGGTGATGAACTTGTTTTGCAAGCAGTTTGGATTAAACTGTAATTACTTATGGTGCGTGCCTGCCAGACTTAATGTGTGTGCTAGCCTTACATTAGGGAACATTTGTTTCAAAAATGGGGAGCTTCCAGCAAATTAAATGCTCTTGCTGTGCTGTTTTGCAAGCTGAGCAGATTTTCCTCGGTACTTTTCTTCCAACATGCTGTTAATGAATGTTAATAACAGGTGTTACAGAACAAAGCTATTGCTTTTCCTGTGGGCTGAGGTACAGCTTGTCATGAGAGCAGTGGTAGCTGTTCTTGATGCTTTCAGGTGGGGAGTTTTACTCTGCAATTTGTGTTGTTAAAAGCACAATTATGACCTGACTAGTCAATTGTTGGTGCTAATTGTGAGTCTTCCTCAAATATGTGGGCACTGGATTCTTAGAAGTCATTCTCTGAAGTGCTAAGTGAATTGCTAAATAGTACTTCAAAACAGCTTGGTAAATTTTATGAAAACAACCCAAACTACCAGGTGAGAGCTTGCACTTTGTGTTGGGGTAGCATTAGGTCCTGGTAGCATCTAGTATACCACAAATAAGGGAATAAAAGTAACTGAGCAATCAAACTGAACAAATGAACATATAATTTGTTTTCCAGTTGCTTAGGAACATATATGGAATTTGCAGATGTCCCAAATCTTATTGGGACAGTAGATTAAGCTTTTGTCACTGCACTGGTGAAACACACTGCTGTGAAAGAGCTTTATATTAGACTGATGGGCCTGTTCTAGAAAAACCTGTGATATCGTGTCAGGAGCATAAACCAAACTGAGTGTAAAGCACATGTGAACAACTGGAATTAAATTTGTTACTTCACACCATGTGGTGTGAAGATATGGGCAGCATGTCTGAACTACAGCATTTTGCTATCTCCAGAGCTGTCAAGGGAACTTAGAGATTAACTGACTCATTAAAAATGGGGTATATCAAAATGCAATTAATAATCTACTGCAGTTAGTAATTTTGAAGACTAGCCAGTAAAATACTGGCTAAAGCCATTAGTGAAGACAGGAATGTGGCTTCTTTTGTTGAAACTAAATTGCAAAGAGTTTTTTCTGGAATTATGATATATTGTATACAATAATAATATTGTATATTTCTAAAATTGGTACAATTTTTTTATAAAGACATTCAGTTAAGCAAAAAGGTAGAAGATCTGTACTGAACTTCTCCTGTTTTCATCTCAGGCTTTCTGACCAGTTTGATTTTAAACAGCTTTAGTTCTGATTGCCAAGAACTATATAGGCAAACTTGTGGGATATCTGTCTGGTGGTGTGAGCTGGCTTTGCACTGCATCTCAGACAGTTACGGGTGAATGATATTTACAGCTAAAGTACCAGTTACAGTATCTTAAAAAAGCTACAGTTTCATAAAAGTACACACTAAATTACTACTTCACAATGAGAATTTAAGTACGAGGCAATTGAGTTGCAGTCAGTAGCCTTAAGAAAGAAAAACAGATTTTTATCTATTCCTTTGTAGGAGGCAGTAGAGAAATATGATGAAGTAGTGCACAACCTGGAATTTGCCAAGGAGCTTCAGAAGACTTTTTCGGGACTTAGCCAAGATGTAAGTATAACTGTCCTTCTCTACATTGACAAGAAGTAACTGCAAAACTTGTGCTGCTCCTTTAATGGCTAGACTTCTATTCCAGTACAGCCTATACTAGGAAGTTTCTGTCTTGTATCCCTGGAGCAGTGAAGCCTTAGGCAGAGACTAAGGAGCAGGAGATTAAGGAGAACTGATTGGTACTTGTTAACCAGTTGTCTTTTTCTGATCACTTGGTAGCCAAAGGCTAGAGAAGCTTCAGTGACTCCAGTGGTGGGTCCCTGAATGGCTGGTGCTGGGGAAGTGAGACCTGTGAGGAGAACCTGGAATAGCTGGGCTTGCTGGGCCTGGTAAAGTGAAGGCTTGCCAGGAGATGGACTTTTATCCTTCATACAGCAAATACTGAAAGAGTGGAGCTGGGATTTTTGATGAGAGATGTAGGAGAAACAATGATCATTGCTTGAAATAGACTACAACCAGGTAGGAGGAAATGGTCACTCAGTGGGTGATTAAATATTGGAAGCAGGCTGCCAAGTGAAGTGGTAAAATCTGTCCTTGGATTTCTTCAACACCTGACTGCACAAAGCTCTAAGCAACCTGGTCTTGATTCACTGTAGCCTTTCTGGAGGCTGGGTTAGACAGTGTCCCAAGATCTCTTCCAAATATTTTTTAATGCTTCTGGTGAAGGAAAGTGCTGGTATTAAATCACTTTGACTTCAATGAGAAGTGCCTCCCTCAGTAAAATTTAACTGAAGCTTGTGGAGTTTGCTGCTTAATCTGCCACAGATGTCTCTAATTGTGGTAAGTCATAGCTTTATTTAGGTCTTTGTTCAGGATTTAAAGCACTACATACATTATTTTTGTGCAAGCAAGTGTTTTTTCTTTGGAGAAACTGGTCTCCTGGCTCAAGCAAATTCTACACTTACAGAGGATTTGATCCAAGGTGGTGGCAGGGAAGCTAAACATGATTAGTCACTGCTCTGGCCTTATTTCTCTGCCTCCTACAGAATGCTAAAGGGCTGGTACCTTGTGACCCAGTGTATCTTTGTGCAGGTGTTTTTAGTAATCCAGCATTAGCTTCTCCCAGTTCACGTTTGTTCTTGAATTTATGCTGCATTTAAAGGCCAACCCACCTTGTTCTTAACATCTGCTGCTATGGATTCTACAGCCAGTAGCCATTACTGGAACGCTAGGGGCCATTCTGGCAACAGCATCCTTGCACCTTTTGCAGTGTATTGTAGGGAACAAAATTTTCATAGGTCTTGACACATATTGAGGCATTTTAAATCCTGCATTTATTTGGATAGCTTCTGGGTAGTTCTATTAGTACATGATGAGAAAATTGAATGCATATTCTGTATGTGTTCTGTAACTCATGTTGTTGCCTATTTAATGAGTATTTCAGTCTTCTGCCAACAGAAATAATTATAGGATTCTGCTGTATCCTTTAAACTGGAGTATTCAGAAGTGAAGAGCAGTTGTCTTACTAGGAGAAACTTGAGCCAACTGCCTCTTTAACTCTGTGATAAATGTTAAAGGTCAGCTAGGCCTGGATTGATGAATTGGTGTCAGTTCTATTAATTTTTATAAGCTGTTACAATAAAACAACCAGCAGGCATAATCAGGGTCTAGATATCACAAGTGAAGGTACCAGTATCCACTTTGACTGAAAGTTAGATGTGTAGACAATTTGTAGATGAATGGGGAGCTCTTGCAAAGGAGGTGCTTAAAAGATGATGGATAGCTGAAGAGTTAGGAGCTTCTGTTATCTAACCAAAATTAATAATAGTTGATTTCTTCATTGTAGGATAATTGATACTAGAAGTCAATGTTTTATCCTAGAATCTAGATACTAAACAGTGTTCAACACACTAAATTGTGTTTAATTGTTGAATTTTACATTAAAATAGCTGCTGAAAGCACAGAAGAAGGCTCAGCGGAGAGAGAGTCTATTGAAGCTTGAAGCAGAGAAGAAAAAGCTGCGTACAATACTTCAAGTCCAGTATGTGCTGCAGAACTTCACTCAAGAACATGTTCAGAAAGATTTCAAAGGTGGTGTGAATGGTGCAATATACTTGCCTTCTAAAGAATTAGACTACCTCATAAGATTTGCAAAACTGACGTGTCCAGAGAGAAATGAGAACTTGCGGTAAGTTCAGGGCTTTTTGTCTAATAAAGTATGCTACGTTTGTTGTGGTAAATGTCCTCTGCTTGACACTGGCGTGTCTTCAAATACCATGTTTTGGAACATTACTTAAAATTCTCTTCAGTACACTTGGTTTAGTCTGAGATTAGGAATGTAACAGGTTTACCTCACTTGGAGCATTAGAGGGAAGCTGTAGTAATTACAGCCTCAGGTGCAGGTTACAGACTTTTATGACTTCCTGTGGGACCGTGGGGACACAGTCCAATACCATCCTTAGCAGGGAGGCTGGGGATTAGCTGCTTCTCTTCACTGTTCATGAAGTGAAAAAGTGCAGTGAAATCAGAACTCTTTCTGTAATCCATTTACATTGATGATTTAGATGTGCTTCTTTATTCTGGAGTAATGCAAGATGGTGCTCCTGAGACACTCCTGCTGTTGGCTTCAAAGTGGTTTTCAGAAATTGCCTGAAGTTTTTGATACATCTGCACTAAATGTCATGCATGTTACCAGGTTGTCAACAGAGGTAATGTCAGTATCAGTGCTCATGTGGCACTGCTCTGGTGCTGTGATGGCTCATGCTTACTGTGACTGCCTGTCTGGTAGGGTAGTGCAGCAAGAATTGTATTTGAGTATGGAATAAGTAGTTATTAGGTGGTAAGTTGAGACACTTTATGAATAAGTCATGTTTGAATATGGACTGATTCTTGAAGTGCCTCAAAATTCTAGCACTTATCATACACTAGACTTTCCTAGTCTTTGCTCTTTAATTAACTGCTTCCAAAGAACAGCTGCTTATAAAAAGCTACACAACAGGAGTGTCTCATCCTAACGAAGTAACTTTGTTTCTAGTTTACTGTTATGGTATACTTCTACTAGAAGCATAATCCTTTCCTTTGGGATACTGTTTCATCACAGTGGACTGCAAATTTAATCTTCTGGAGGAGATAGATCCTGGACCTATAGCCAAGTTTTCCCAGGAGCTGCTAGTTAGTGAGAGCGGCAGCTATTGTTGGTTGCACCTGTATAATATCATCCAGTAAATGTGACCAGCTGATTAAACAGGAATTGTTGCCCTGATTTGGGAATCCTGGCTTGGAATGAAATTCAGCCATGTGGTCTTGTGGGGCAGTGCTTAGAATCTCTATTTTGACCAACAAAAGAAGTTAGGTTTGCTGGGTTAAATCTTGTGCAGACAGAGACAGATTAATTGCTTCCAGTGATTTCAGGGCTTACTGTTGACTCCATATATACAGCCTTGGTTTGGAAAGCTGGACATTAGTGAATGTCATAAAATGAGGGGTATTGGGATAATGCAGCACTTGATCTTGGCTATGATTCTACCTGGTAAAACTGTCATGTGTTTTAGTGTCGAAGACCAGATGGAACAATCATCTCTTTACTTCTGGGACCTTCTAGAAGGAAGTGAGAAACCTGTGGTTGGAACAACATGTGAGTGTCTAATCTAGGGAAATAACTTAAAGATCTAAAATTTGTGTGCTTGTTAAATGTCTTAAAACACATGGAAGGCTACCAAATTAAGCACTTGCAAGTGATACGTGTATCTCAATTATCCAAGATTGAATGGATGTTCCTAGTTCAGTTGCAAGCAAGTCAATCACAATGCCACATGCTTTCAATTTCAAGTCAAGACAGTCTTCAATCAGCGTACTAGAATATTTTTGAGGAATAATGATGGTAGCAACTCAAAACCTGATGCATGAATACCTTACAGAACAGTGGGAAGCTTTTTCTATAGTGACATGCAAATGGGTTAAGCTTGGAACAGTTCCCCCCTATGAAATGCTTAGTTGAGTACACTAATGTATTACAAAGCTTCATTTGCCCTGGGCTGAAGGTTCCACAGCATTGAAGAGTCTTCTTTCTTTGTAGGAATTCTAGACTCGTACCTGTTGTCTCCCTACAGTGGAGGACACCACACTAGGGAAAGGTAGTCATTAATGGAATTTGCTGGGATCTCATCATGCACAGTGCAGTCTTTCTTTGATGTAATGCAAGTGTCCTTACTTTTCAAGCATACCAAAATCTGTGGGACTCTATAGATCTTCCATTTGTGTCACAGTTCCAAAATCCCTGGTTATAAGCCAACATATACATTGTGCTCCTATTTACAACTTGCTTGTGAGGAAACTCCCCTTAACTGAGTTGTAGTGTCTTTTCTATTGTGAACATCCCTTGCTTGATGTGTTATACCAATCTTGTAGCAGCTGTGTGGCAGGAATCTTTCATTTGTTACTGACAACAATGCTGAAACTGTTAGAACAGAGCATTAGTGTGCCCTGTTTAATTTCCAGATACAGGTAGCTGAACTGACAACTAGATATTAAATCTTTCCATGTGTTTCTGAACAAACTGCAGACTTGGATTGCTACAGGCTGGTAACTTTAGCCTTGTATCTGTTGACATGAATAGATTATTTATCAGTATCTCAATCCATTTAGTGTCAGTCTTGCATCCCTTTGTGTGCAAGTTTGACTTCAGATAAACCTGTTAGGTTGTTTTATTAGTGTTCATTGCCTTGGAAGACAGTTTTTTATAGCCATATTAAATTCTAGCTACAACTCTTGCTTGTGTGGTTGTCGCTGATAGGAGTGATCTTTCACTGAATGTTCTTCCTCTTCTCAAGGCTGCCCTGTTTCCAGCTCCTTTGAAACAATTTCTAGAATCACTGTTACTTCTGAGGTTTTACTTTCTACTCTAGACTGCTGTCTCTTGTTTGCACAGAGAAGCAAACTGGACAGTGCTTCTCAGAGTACACAGTTAAGCTTTTGTTCAACCATGTCAGCTCTGAATCTTTTCCAGCTTCAGAGGAGTAAGCTCAGCCTGGGAGCAGTCCCTTGCATTTCCCCTGCTTGTTCATACAGTTCTTGACTTTTCTTTGAGATACCATCCTGTTATCAGCAAGAGTGTCTTATAGAGTAGTTCCATTGTGACTGTTTAACTTGACCTCTGTTGCAGTCTCACATGGTTTTAGTATCAATGCTGGCTAGCTTACACATGGTAATCAAAGCCCTTTCTAAGAATGTGGGAGACCTGGTGGCTCTGTGTTTAACTTGTGGGCATTTAAACACAAGCTGCAGTCTTGCATGGGATTGTAACGATGTTTCCAACTGCATTAAATTAAACAGTCAAATTATTTCCTTTACTAAAACATTTCATTGCTATAGGTTGGTGAGATGTGTGAACTTGGAGAAACTCCAGTTCATATAAAGGGAGAAAGTAACAAGTCTTAATCTGTAATCTGAATACCCCTTAATTTCAGATTTTGCTATTTTAACTTTGTGGATTTTTATTCTTTAGATAAACACATGAAGGACCTGTTATCCAAACTTCTAGACTCTGGCTACTTTGAAAGTATTCCAACTCCTCGCACCACTATGCCAGTTAAAGAATTGGAAGAAGTAAATAGAAAACCCGAGAAAACAAGACAGCTGTCAAAGGGAGAGTCTGCCAAAGAACCAGGTGGAATATTACAGGGTTCAATTTTTATCGGTGTTGGGAAAGGCTTGAACTGAGCACTGACTTTGCATAGCTTGATGCTAAATCTAATGCTGTGCTGTAGCTTACTTGCAATGTAGTAGCTGAAATGGAACCTGCAGGGCTTGCAGCCCTATCTTAGCTAATAACATAGAAAAAATATTAAATCATGGTAATACAATGCTTTTGCCTTCTGAGCAAGTTGAAGATGTGGGAACTGTCTGGTGTTACATATTGGGGAATGTTACATATTAGGATAACAAAATTATGAATACTATAAAATGTTTTTTGTTTAATTCTAAACTTCCACAGCTGTAAAACAGTCAGAAAATAAAAGCTAGTCAACAAATAGCATGTTGAATGGGCAAGCTAAGCTTTCAGAATATTTGGTCTAGCAAATGTGTACTACTATTTAAATAGATTTAAAGAGTTACTAGCGTTTGATCTACCTTTCTGCATTTGATCAGTTGAAACAAATTAACATCCTTTCTCTAGAATCCATTATGGAGCTTATGAAATCTGAAATACAGCCACAGGAGGTAAGATACTCTACTGTTAATTACTTGCCTTTAGTATTGTGATTTATCAGACATATAAATGCTCTTCTGCAGCACTTTTTTAAACTTAAAAAGGGAGTCAGAACAGCAATCTAAGTATTGCTAGATGTAGGAAGCATTAAAGACTTGGTTGCCTTTCTATTTTTAACCCTAAATTTATGGCGTCTGGGGTTTTATTTTGGGGTAAATGGAGCAGGATTACATGAAGCAGTATAGTACTTTAATGCTCTGGTGCTTTCCTGAATAAAACAAAGCATCAGCCTTTAGAGTGGAAACACTGATCTTTTGTGTACTGTGGAATAGAGAAAATACACATCTACTAAAGCTGTCTGTAAGAGCTATGCTTGTTGCAGTAGGCTTGATATTGGTGGGGTTGAGAATGATATTGGTCTTACTCTGATTTGTTAAGAAAGTAGGAAACCCAAGACAGACTTTTGTGCACAGGGGTGTGTAGATCTGTTTCAGCAGCTCTTCAGCCTGCTGAATTCTGGCTTTGACTGTCAGTAGAATAGAAATCCTGGTTCAAAAAGTATGAAAGAGGGTGTCTTTTCCAGGTGGAAATACTAGTTCTTAAAATGCTGAGTCCCCGTTTCCCGTGTATCCCACTAGAGGGTGTACTCTAGAACAAGGTTTTGTAACTTATTGGTAGCACTGTTACCTGACTCTCATCTGGTGTCTAGCCAGAAAAAAGATCTCAGCCAGTGAGCCTTGTACATTCTTCACTTCATGTATTTGCTTCCTGTTCATGACCAAGTGGGAACTTTAGAAAAACTTAGGCTATCGTCATTGAACTGTGACTTACTGACACTAAACACAGCCTGCAGTTGAAGTCCAGTGGTACTAAATCTGAGAATCTAGTGACAATTTAGTATTAAAACTCCTCTATGAATGAGGGTTATACTTGGTTTCTGGATCTAATATATTGGGGTGCTTATCAGAATGTCTGCTAATATAGTACCTGAGCTTTTTAGGTGCTTAGAAGGATAGCTACCTTTATAAAGATAACAATTGAACTTGACATTGTTACTGCCTAGGAACATGATAATGAGGATAAGGGCAGTAGATTCACTCAGCTGGGTTTTACTTGTGCTGTTCAGCACTGTTCCCTGTTTCTCTATGGCATGCCAAGCAAAGCTAGTCTGCAGTGTTGTAGGATAAAGCCATGGCCACATAGTTTCTATGACTAGTGCTTAGACTGTCTAGGCTCTGCTTTTAGTCAGCAGTTTTCAATAAATGGGTGACCTAATTTAACTGACCTGAACTGTAGTAGAAAAATGTGTTCTTGGGAGCCATTAAGTTTCTTTGGTCTATATAGTTTCTCAACAGGCGTTATTTGCCTGAAGCAGAATACTCTGTCAAGAAGAAGCCAGAAGAGCCCAGATCTTGGGAAGCCGAGTGTGCTAAAAAACAAGAACCTCCAAAGTCCTGGGAGATGCTTGTTGATATTAAAGAGCAGGAGCAGAAACAAGAGACCTTAAAGCTTTGGGAAGCTCGTGCTAAAGAGGAGGAACAGAAGCGTCAGTCTGCAAAGTCCTGGGAGACCCGTGTGGAGGAGGAACAACAAAAGAAGCTGGAAGCTCCAAAGGCATGGGTAGCACGTGTCCGAGAGGAGCAGGAGTCTCCCAAACCCTGGGTAGCAAAGGTCAGGGAAGAGCAGGACCTGAAGAAACAGGAATCACCTAAGCCATGGGTAACAAAAGTTAGGGAAGAGCAGGAGCAGAAAAAGCAGGAGTCCTCAAAACCTTGGGTAACCAAAGTTAAGGAAGAACCAGAAGAAAAGCAGGAATCTCCAAAACCTTGGGTAACCCAAACTAGGGAGCAGCCAGAACAAAAGAAGCCAGACCCTATGAAAACATGGGAAGTGCCTGTTAGGGAAGAGCCAGAGCAAAAGAAGCAGGAGCCTATGAAGGCTTGGGCTGCACATGTTAGGGAGGAGCCAGAACAAAAGAAGCAGGAGACTCGAGAGGCTTGGGAAAAAGCTGACAGGCAGCAGCAAGTGTCATCACCGCAGTTACAGAACCCTCCGAAGTCCTGGGCAGCTGCCAGTATGGGGCCAAAGGAACAGATGGGGCCAAAGAAGTTTGATATGGAACCCAAAGAAGTGAGTTGGCATATGTAGTATTATCTGTCATAAGCTTTTGACATTAGCATATTGGAATAAAGCCACCTATTAGCAGAGATGTCTAAGGTGTATTTTGTAGGCCAATATTTAGACTCCCATTTCATTCTTTCTTGGGGGAAATAATTCTGGCGGCTAAAGTTTATATCTGAATAGCAAGATAGTCTGCTTTGCTTTTTACATCAGCACAGTATTTCTGTGTTTGAACCTTGAATAACTGCTTTATGCATAAGACAGGAGAATTAACTTGGTTCATCTGTAGCTATTGGCACTGGCCACTGTTACCAGTACAAAGCAGGTATGACTCATCCAGGGATCAAATACTTTGTGGCTGTATGCAAATAACACTTCAGTAATTTTTAGGCTTTTGATTAAAATAGCTGCTGATTCAAGAGAGATCTAATGTCTAGATCAAGCAACACCAACTGTACAGGGGCTTAAATATGTATTTCCAGATGAATGCATAAACCATATTGCTGTCCTGGGAGTTTAACAATAGCGTAGCGTTAGAAATGTAAAATGAAAGCCATTGCATGGCTTATAGCTGAACAGGCTGCTACCCTTTGGTCACATTACCTTCTTTCTCACCTGTGCTTGGGTAGCAACACAGCTGACCACTGTCAAAACAGAAAACTGAGCTCTGCCATGTCTGCCTTAGGTCACTAAGAGAAATGTTAATCTAAAGGTAGACTTCAGGAAGAAAATATGGGGAATTGAGCAGTTCTCTGTATGTGGTATTGTCACCATTACTATCTTCCTGCAAGAAAGCAGGAAGCAGTACATCCCATGTTACTTGTGGCAAATGATTTAGCTTGTATCTTGTTGGTAAACCTGGCATAACTGAAAAATGAATGTTCTTGTGCCTAGAAGCGGGACCGCAAACCGAAGGTTGAATACAAGATTAAAAAAGTATGTAACAATACAGCACTGGGTAACAACATGGGATTAAGGTGTTTCAGATTGATCCATCTTTACACTCAAGCTGAGTAGAATCTTGTGTCCACTGGTGGTGGTACAGGTGGAAAATCTGGTTGCTTCACTAAGTAACTCTGAGTACAAATAGGTGTTGTACATCCAACTATACACAGTATTCCTATAATTGAAACTAAGCTCTGCATTAGTCACGAGCACTGGTAAGGTGCCTTGGAATTTCTGGTGTCAGGTTATCTTAAATGCAAGATGCTTCCTAATGAGAAGATGCTTCCTCTTATTTTTATATGGGATGGATAGATGGATGGCTTAAGTGGTTGAGAAAACTGCTGCAATGAGTAAAGAGGAGGGTCTCCAGTCATCTGGAGAAACTTGGAAACTGCTTCAGAATCTCCCTAGTAGTGTACAGGTGTGCAGTATACTGGCAAAATTAAACTAAATGCTGGAATGTGAGGTCAGTGAAGGGGGGTTGCTGAACGAAGTAAACAAAACATATTTTAAAGTATTCAAACTTGGGTTTACATAGACCATAGGAAAGCATCAGCTGGCTTTATTTTTGCTTAGTTGCTATTGAGAAATCCTAATACCAAAAATATATTGAATGAGTAGAAAACAATGTATTGTCAACATAACTAGTTCCCATAACCAGTTTTTAAAAAATTACATCTTTGACTTAAGGCGCATAAAAAGAACAATTAAAATCATGTTAAACTTTTGGGATAACAATTTTTCTTACCCTTATGTAAAAAAGAGACAATGCAGTACTTTAGCTGGATCTGTGTGTTTCTGAGAATCTATAAATGCTCTTGTGCAGAGACATAGGCATGGCAGATGAAAGACCTGTGCCATTGCTGCTGCCCTCTGAGCTGAAACTAACTCTTAAAACTCTGAGGTCTTTAAAAAAAAACTGTTTTGAGATATTAAAATATGCTTGTTTAACTTAACATACCTTAAGGTGCAATACTGTAGGAAGCTGAGCCTAAGATAGCAGGGTGAGCTGATGTGCAGACCTGTTTTAACTCTTGTTCTGTTTAAATGTTTGTGCAACCTGTGGACCAGCAAATTTGATTAGAGCTGAATTTGTGGCCTGGTATGGGAAAGCAAAACAGTTTGGCTTGTGCTGTCATCCAGCATGTCATTTAATTCATACCTGCTGTGAATGCTGCTCTGAGTAGAAAGCAGATTTTAATTGTGTATCTACATGGCAATCACTGCTTACAGCTTAGGTATCACCGTTCCACCTTGTTTAGTACTCCATAACTAACAAACCTAAAGAGGAATTGAAGACCTGTCTCATAGAATGAAGTTTCACTAGTAAATGAGATGGTATGAAATGAGGTGGTATGTTAGTGTTTGCATGTAAGTAGACATTCAGTCTCTAAAAATCCAGCTTTAACAAGAGTCCCTGGTAATAGGCATTCTGACTTGCCAGATTCCAGAGTGGCCATTGGTTTATTTGCAATGGTTTAACAGGTCCTAGAACAAATTCTAGATGTTTTGCCTCTACTTTCAGTCAATTCTCTGAATGGAAGTCAAGATGCATTCTGCTGAATGTATAAGTAGTGTTGAAGTTAGATTTCGGAAACAGTTCTTATGACAAAATAGACTCTGAATTTACCAATGCTGTTCAACTCTAGTGGTTCAAGCAACATTCAGGTTAGTGCTAACTGATCTTAGCATGTACAGGTTTGATCTGACCCAGAATAATAGATCAGAGTCTGATGCTAGTTTTTAATGACTACTAGAAACAGCACCTGGTTGTAGGCTAGAAATACAATATCTTTAGAATGTCAAGTACCTGCTCTTCTTCAAAGCATCTCTTTTTTATAGAAAGCATAAAAACTGAAGTACTTTAATTTCCTGATACCTTTCTGCATATGATCTTATTTTGCACTTAAATATTGTAGCTTTGAACCCCTAAGTACCAGCAAAGCAGCAAATCAATGAGGAAACTTCACTGCAGCTTCTTCTGGCTAGTGTATTTTAATATCTATATGAACTAGAAAATAAATTCTATGGAATGGAAAGTATGTTTCAGTCCTAGCTGAAAGCCCTGGTATAATATATGTAACCCAGCATTCTTGAACTTCTTGAAGTAAAGAATGCTACCAACAGAATGCATAGAGTATGAGCTAGGAAAGGAGATAAAAGCTCTGACAGACTGTAAAAGCATACAGGAATTTTATTGTATTTGGAAGCAAAAGTGACAAGTCTTTTTTGCTTCCATGCTCTTTGGGCTTTTTCAACTTTTTTTTTGTGTTTAACGTACAAGTCTCACTTGCATAGCTAATGGACTATCTTAAGAACTTTAGACCCTACCAGGCTGACCTAGTTAGGTCACCTAAAGTTGGAAAGTTCTGTTACCCATTTTCAAACATGCAGAACTAGTACTATCCTTGTGTCTTAGTAGAAATGGTAGTGAGGAGGAAGAGGGTAAAGCATGAATCAGTTTAACCCATAATAGATTTACTATGACAGAAAGTGCTGTAAATTTTAAGACTTTTTGTAAGTGAGGGCTAAAAGTGATGGACAGAAAGATCCAGATTGCCAGTAACTGAATCTATAGCTCGCTGAGATTAACTTAATGCAACAGTAGCTTTTGTCCTACACTTATATCTTTAAAAGCTGTAGTAGCTGTAGTTATTGTTCATTATTGGAAGCTATAGCAATATAAACTTGTATTTAACTGGTTGTTAAACATAGTGCTTGTGCAGCAGAATTTCTAATTAAGATAGAGCTGTACAAAGATGTGCTCTTAACTATGGAATCAAATAAAACTTCTTACAGCTCCTCAAGCAGCTATCATGTGGGCTACATAGATACTAGAAACTGAGTCCTCCAGAGTTAATCATGTAAGCTTCTTGCCTGTGCATGGTATTGGAATTTCTGCAAAGGCCAGAGATTAGCTTCAGAAAACTGTTAAAAAGGAAATGCAAGAGTGTTCTTAGGCTTGTACTAAAAGTGGACAGAGAGCACGTTTTTTTGTTTGTGGTGGATTTAGTGTGATAATTGTCATCATAACACAAATACATTTCTGCCGTATATTATCCAATGACTTCATGCAAATGCTCAATAAGACTGCTATACAATATATTGAAGTTGTAACCTCCTGCTAGAAACACAGCTGTTTGTCCCATAGGAAAAGAAAGGCTTTCACATGTTCCTGCATATCTCAACATTTGGGGCAGTTGAAATAATGCAACTAAATATCTTAAGGTTTGCCTCCCTCTAGCTGCACAGACAAAGATAAGAACAGTTAAACTTTTGAGAACCACAAAAAATTGTTTTAAAATACTGCTAATGAGCCTACCTCTTCTCCATGCTGCTTTCAAAAGGCACATTAGACTATCTAGACAGTTCAATATTATTGTCACCCTATAAATAACAGGGCTTCTGCTGCTTTAGGAGATTACTATTATGATTTTTCTGTTACCTTAGGCTGACTTGTTCTTTGACAAAACATGTCCTTCTTTTAAAGTGGAGTGAGAACCACTTGGGATGGACAAGAGTTAAGGAGCCAGCTAAAATAATCAAGGAGTAATAAAGCCCTGCAAAAGTTCCTGTTAGGCTCTTGTGTGGGGGAGCACAGGTATATTTATGCCAAGCTTGGATGTAATACTTTCTGCAGGAGGTGGTGCATTGAGACTATGGCTTTGCAGTAGAAACACTTTGGTCTCATCCTGAATTATTTGTTTGCAATGTATCCCTTAAGTGCAATTTCTTCAGAGTGTCTGGAAATGGCCTCCTAATAAAAGATCTGTACTTATTGGTGTAGGCTCTATTGGGGGGAAATAAGCCTTGAGTGATATAGCTTTGATTTTTAAGTTTGTTCTGGCCCTCAACTAAGAAGTGAGTTTCCTTAGATGGAAGTGCTTAATTTTGCACTAGATGCAGGCAACTTCTTTACATTTGACTCTAAGAAACTGAAGTGAATTAATCTGTAAAAGGTGTTCCTGCCCATGGCAGGGGAGTTGGAACTAGATAATCTTCAAGCTGTCTTCCAACCCAAACCATTCTATGAAATCTATGGCTTAACTAATTATAGCAACAGGAAACCATTTTTTTTTTTAATAAAGTGAAAACTTGATTCAGGAACTATCAATAAGTGCACAGAATTCCTTGGCCCACAGTGTCTGACACCTCTAGCTTAGCCTGGAAGTACATTGGATAAGACAGCTTGTCTTGCTTCCAGTATTAGATTTAATATAATTTCTCCTTATTAGGTGCCTAAACCTGTACATCAGCCAGCTGCAGAATTTTGTTCTACTTCAACTCTTCCAAAAGATCCAGTATTGAGAAGGGAAAAACTTCAGGATCTGATGACTAAGATACAAGGGACTTACAACTTCATGCAAGTATGTTTTTCCCTGCTGTTGTAGGCACAGAGCTCCAGTTCCTACTGGGTTAGGGAAAACAGTGTTGTCTGTTTGCTGACAGTGTGTTGGCACTGAATGAATGAATTTAGCCCTAAATGGCTAAAAGCAGCTTGTCAAGTGATAATGTTTCATTTATACCTGGAGTTTAATGATTTTTCTACCCAATGGTGATTTTTTTTGAAAGGAGTCCATTCTGGATTTTGATAAAGCTTCACCAAGTGCCATTGGTTCATCCCAACCTCCTTCAGTTACTCCAGCAAGTAGTCCTGTAGGTAAGTGATACCCTAAGTGTAAATGCTATGTAAAATTTTACAAGCACTAACAGGGTTTGATTGGGCTGTAGATCAGTAGGCCTGGTGAAGACAGCTTATTTAAATATAAAGAACAGACAATGCTAAAAGACTGGGTGGATCTTGGGCTGTATAACTCAATTACCTGGTTTATTATTTTTTTTTTTTTAATCTGGTAAGTGGGTATCTTTTCTGTGATAAAAATATTTTTGTCATTTAATACCTGTCCTCTTTTACCAAAAATCTGAAGTTTTCAATTTGGTGTAGCTTACTAATGCTAGGTTTAAATATTTGCAGTCTGTATGGTAAAAACACTTTGCATCTTCACATACCATGAAATGTTTTAAAAAAATAGAACTGCACATCAAAACTATATGTAGTGTTTGAATTTACAAGTAAATTTTGCTTAATGCATTCTATTTTTACAGCTTCAAAAGAGCAGAAACTGCCAAGTCAGAGTGATTTTCTTCAACAGCCCCTTAAGGTAAGTTGAAGTTGGGACTAACCTGAAGAGGTAGATAGGTTACTTACCAGCATGGACTTAATACCTGAGTTGTTTTTCTTGCCAGTAGTTTTGTATTTCATACAGTGCAGTAGCTTGTGAGTCTAAGATCACTCAAATCATGACAATGCTGGCTGCTCTTCTGGTTGAAAAGGGGCAATAAAAGCTTGAAGTCTATTGAAGTAAGTTGAAGACATGCTGAAATAGTTTGCATATTTTACCTGTAGATTCAGGTCATAGCCAGTAGTTGTGTGCAGAAGTGCAGCTAGTTTCTTTCCTAGATAGTGTTTTCATCTTAAAGATCCTTAAACCAAAGACTGTATCTCAAGCTTTGGTAGTTGTGGTTAAATGAAGCTTAAATTCAGTAACCGTGCTTGTGTGTCTTGTGACTTTTGCTTTTCAATGTGTTCCCTTGCCATGAACAAGAATTCTTAAAAGACTGACTGGTCAAAATGCTTCAGTCCCTGCATTATGCTGAGGTTTACTTGGACATACTGAGGGTGTGAGTTTTAGTGAAACCAAACACTCTTGCATTCGATATTTTCAAAACCTTATCTGCTTTCTCTTCTTGCAAGGCTGCTGCTTCATCCATGGTGCTGCATGGTTCAAACACTTCCCTGGCATCTGCTGATCATGCTCTTTCTGGCTCTGAAACTGAAGACTTGGTGACACCACAGGTACCATACCCTGGGGCTCTATGGCATTCAGATCTGTGTGACAGCCAGCCCTAACAGACAGCTGAGCTGGGGCCCTTCTGAATAACTGTACTTGAACAACATACAAGTAACAGCAGTAGTATAGCCTACAGTCTGGAATTCTTAAAGATGGGTGGAAAAGTCTTGCTAATACTGCATGAATGCAGAGTGAACAGTCTGCTTCTTGACATAGGAAGGGTGTAGGATGAAAAATTCTCAGTAAAAAGTGTAGTGCACATTCTTGTGGGAACATGGGAGCAGCATAAATATTTGCTTTGGTTACAGTGTAGAATATTCCCTCTAAACATGAAAAAGAGGTTGCATAAATTGGGATGGGTATTGTTATGAAATAGCAGAACCTGTGTGTAACCTGAAGACTGAAATAGCTGAACATCAAAAAGTCAGATTCCCAGCATTTCTTCAGTTAGTGTTTGAGAGACTAAGATGTAAAACTTTGCTTGCTTAATTGTATTTATGTGCAGTTAAACATTCAAATACTGTTTAGAGCCAAAAGTTTAAATTTATGCAGATCACTGTCTTAAAAATCTCTTGTGGATCGTGTTGCTGTGTTCATGAACACAGCTGGCTCTTTCCTGTTAGACTCTAATTCAGAGTGTGTGGATTATAATGGGAAATGTTCTTGCTTTTTACATTTGTTTTGCTGATGTACATGTTATCAGCATACTGTGTATGTAGAATTTATTTCTTAATATACTATATACTGATATGGCTATTAGTCTTACGTCCTCTTGAATCAGCAGTTTTGTCCCAATTCTTGACACCTTTTATCCCTTCTACAGTGCATGACTCCTTGTGCTGACAGCATTCAATAATTTTGCTGTTCAATATGCATCCAGAAAGCTTGTGCTGTGCTATAAAGTAGAACATCTGATTTATTAGAATGCAAACTTATGGTTTGGAATTAGGGTTGCTTATTCCCAGCATATCTCTAGTCCCTTTAGCTTGAAGTCTAGTGTCTGTTCTTTTCCGGGGAAAGCAGTAGTTAAGTTTTGGTCCCAGCACAGCCAGGGAATACGCTCCATGGTGACAGTGCTCCCCCTGGTGTGCAAGTACACACCAGTGCTGTCTGTGGCACTCTGATGTGTACATGGTGAGCACAGCACTGGTAGTCTTTAGCCCTAGGCTCTCTATTTAAGTACTAAGCAACTCCTAAGCTTAGCGTTACAAGTGCAAGCTAACTATAGAACACGCAGGCTTTGCACAGCCTTGTTCAACAGAGCTTACCAAAGGCACAATGTAGATTTCCATTTAATTCAGTGAGACAGGGGTGTGTGTGTAGCAGACTTGACTGTAAGTGCTTGAAGCAATCCCCGGTTCTTAAAATGTTCTGACTTTGCAGGGTTAGTTGTGCAACCAGTTGTGTAAGAAGAGTAATCTAAATCTGAATCTCTAAAGCTAATTACTTGAAGCTTTGGTTAAGATGACTATTTAATGCTTTGGCCTTTGAATTAATGTTTGTCCTGGTCTTTCAAAATCCATTTGTTTCAACTTTTGCACTGGTGATTCATAGCTTTACCAGGACTCTGTAGTACTCCTTGTAATAGCAGGTGCATTATGGCTTCTTGTAGGCATCAACACCACTTTCTCAAGAGAATGATAAATATACTCTGTATCAGACAAGTTCACGTATTTCTGAGCCACTGATGCCTAAAAAGATTGAAATTGCCCAGGTGAGCTATTAAAAATAAGGTAAATACTTATGTTGCTGAAATGGTAAGGCTCCAGACATGTTCCTTTTGACTTCTGATTCCTATAAATACTGGTACAAACACTTCATTTTGCCATCTGCACAGCTGAGGCCTAATGCTGGTTAATACTTTGTCTGGACAAGTCAGCATTGTTTCTAATCTGAAACATAATTAAGTTGAAAAGCAGGGAAAAAAAATTAGACCCCCTAAATTTCCTAAGTTCCTCCAGAAAATAGAAGTAATTTTTAATATCAGCCAAATAATCTTTTTACTAAATGGAACAGAAAGCATTATGTGTCCTTAGTGATAGGGAAAAATACCTAATGTCTCTTTATAGTGATATTATTCCAAAGAATGGTATGTATAGTAGCTCATAGGCACATTTCACTTAATCAGCAGAGACTGCAATAGAAGTACTCTTTGCTGAGGATGCACAGCAAGATTTGAAATTGTAAGCAAAAGCTATTTTGTAGCTCTACTATGTCCAAATGTCATCCTGCAGAAACTGCTGACTTCTGTCAGTCTAGGCTTTAGAACAAATTAACTGCTTCTGTTACTGCCTGATAATTATCAAGTGACCTTTCATTACATTTGTTCTTCCCCCAGGCAACTATTCCCCTCCCAAGTGAGCCACAGTCACCATTGCCTACTTCAAGCACCCCTGTGCCATCAGTGCCACCAGCACAAAGCTTTCAGTCTCCTTCAGCAAGCAGCAGTTCTGTCACAATAACAACAGCTCCCTTTCAGGCTATGCAGACTGTAAGTATGCAACACACTGAGTTGACAACAATGTGAGTAACTGGGACTTACACTGAGGAACTGGCTTCTCTTGGAATAGTACAGAATTTGATAGATCATTTTGTTTTAACAGAAAAACCTACATTAGTCCTCTGGTTCTGATTTCTTCAGAACTTAAAAGAGATCATCTAAGAACAAAGATCCTGGTTTTGCTCTGTATAGTGCCAAAAAAACTAATACTAGGATATCTTAGTAGCCTGAAGGAACTAAGAGGGAGAAGTCAGGCCTGAAATCAACAGATTGATAGCTGTGCCCTTAAAGGACACTTACACTGTTCTTGGGAAAAGATTTCAAATCCAACAGACTTTGTTGGAGAACGGGAATTCTGAAGCATATAGATATTAGGACAGAATGCTTCCAGAAGCCCGAGTTTGTCTTGTTATACTGTTTGCTTCAGTGGGGTAAAACATCAGTCTACTGGCATCACGGAAAATGTGTTTTTGGAAGACTGGTGTTGCTCATTATCCTATGCTGTTAACAAGTAGTCAGTGTACAAACCACAGAGTCTGAGATGTTCACTGCAAATATAGAACATCAGTAATGGTGTGTGGCCTGAAAAAATAGTAACAAACATTGCTACTTCCTGGTAATCTGCAGTGCAGGCTTAGAGAGATTCAGAGGAAGGGTCTCTATTTCATTAAGTAAAGGGAAGGCAACACTTACTCCTCTGGTACATTCTTCAGAAGATGATAGAAACATTGATTTAATGTTTTTCTCAAAAGCAAGATTTAGGTTCTCCAGAGGCATTCTCCATTTTAACAGAAATGCAGTTCATAACTTGCTGGACAAACTGTTTTGCAATATTGAGATATGTATGTGGTAGGAACTAGTGGAAGAAGGTATCTAACAGTGTTTCAGATCACAGGAGTTAACAACTAAAACTTCTGTGACATCCTGGCATGGTCTGTAGTAAAATCACTTTTTCTGCTTGATTTCTGTATTGGTAGAAGAGGTTCAAGTTGAACCTACCTCAGAGGCACAGAGTTGTGGCACACATTACAAATAAGGCAATTTGTGGTAGGGAGGTGGTTTTTTCTAAGCTAGATGTGTTTAAATTATGCTAAGTAATAGCATAGTAAGGTGGTGATTTTTCCTGAAAGTGGAGAAGTGGCAGCATGCTGTGATTAAGGAATCCAGAGTCTTTTGGGGACTCGGTGGTCTATACCACTCTTGCCATGGTATAAATATGGAGTCTTGGTCTCAGTCATTACGTTTGGGCTTGCTGTCTGTGTTCACAGTGCTTTGATCGTAACAATACCATTGAAAGCTCACTTGAACTAAGACAATGTTTTTAGAGATGTTAAGTGTTTGAGATTGGTCTTGGGATTTTTGGGTAAAGTCATGAGGATGTTAACTCTTCAGCACTCTCTGAAAGCACAGTCACTGGACTTGACTTGCTAGCCAGGATGACTTCTTGCCAAGTAGTGTATCACAGTGACAGTAATGGAAATATCTGATTACAAGTCCTTAAGCATCCTATTGCTGCTATTGTGCTTATGGAAGCTTGAAGACAGGCTTGACCTGTAGCCCTAGTCCTTGATTTGGGTTCTACCTGTAACCCTCACTGTGGGAAAAAGCAGACCACTTGCTACAGATACTTCAGGATTGTGGGTGTTGATAGCCTGACTTCATTCTCAGATTTCTTTTAGAAAAAGGAGAGCTTTGGATCACTTTATTTACCAAATGAAGTGATCAAAAATTAGAAAAAACCTCCCAAAATAAAAAAAACAAACCCAAAGCTTGTTTTATTTTACAATGGTTTTAAATTTATGCTCAACACTTCAGTATCATGAAGTGCTTCCATGCTGCCTCTTAGAGGCAATACTGGGTTTCTTGACCCTGGAAAAGGTATTAGTTAATAGGGCATCTGCGAATGGCAAGAATTGTCAAGCTGTGAAGCTGTTTCTTGCGTCATCTAGCTGTTGCTTTTGCCTAAGTCTTTCTTCAGACAGTTTATAGTCTGGGAAAATGTTAGATACACCTGTAGACTCAGTGCCAGTATTGTTGACAGCTCTTTATGTGAAATTTAGGCCTTTTTGATTAAAAGGATCTATTTGATGTTGATACTGGTTGTCACTTTTGACAGCATTATTTCTGGTAATTGTGTTATTGGCTATAAAGTAATGCAGTCACTGGACTGACTGAAGTCCGGGTTATTAGATTGAGCTAACAATATCTGCTCATCATTGTACTGCCCAAACCATAACATTTGAATGACAGGACTCACTTAGGTTAAGTGTTTACTCTTGGGGAGCTTTAAATGAGTAGGAAAGATGAAGCTGCATTTACTGAAGGGGCAAATTATGTCTAATATGGTGTTTGAGTGGATGGCAGTTACATCAGGTTCCAAGTCATGCAGAAAGACCCGTATTCTTTCCAAATGTGAATATCCCATCTCAGGATAGGCTGTCCCAGCTTCAACTTGAGCTGTAGGACAGGTCATCAGTGAATTTCCCAGTGAATTTCCCATAGAAGGAAAATAGCTTGTTGTATGGTAATTGTTCTGCTGACAAAGTACAGTAGCTATGGTCAATCAAGCTGTTCCTTGGGCAGTAGCTACATGAACAGGAGTGTGTTCTGTAAGTTTGCAGAGGGGAAAGGATGGGTTGATATATGGTGTTTTTGGTTATTTCTAAGAAACAGCTGGTGTTCTAGAAATGTGCTAAAAAGCATATGGATTCAAACCACAGCATAGCAGGGTGGTGGCATTAGGCAGAGACTTTAGCTGGTAGCATTAAACTCTTATTTTCAAATATATTTTAGGTATTTAAAGTGAACGCACCATTGCCTCCACGTAAAGACCAGGAAGTTAAAGAGGATTCTTTATCAGCGGGATATAATCAGAGTTTCTCCACAGCAAGTACACAGACTCCTCCTCAATGCCAGTTGCAGTCTTCTCATGCTGCAGAACAAACCTCCCTTTCACAAGAATCTCTGTCTTCAGGTGAGAACTGCACTTGCATCTGTATTTCAAGTTGTCTTTAAGTATGTTTGGTTTATAATAGTATTTAAATTCCTTATGTGCTGTGAGTACTTCTAACCCAGTGAAATTCTTAAAAGGTGCTATGTAATGTCTAATATTAGGCATACATCAAATCTAATGTAGTTGATGGTATGTAAACTTAATTTCCAAGCTGCTAGCAGGATGAAAGGCTGGTTCAAACTTGTTTTTGTATTAGATGAATAGACACGTGCCTGAATTTCCCAGTAGGTGAGAAATTCAAGTATGCAGTGATACTTGCCGGTCAAACAATCATTTGCTTGGAATAGTAGCAATGATGAAATACTCTTATTTGGAACCACTAATTTGGTCTCTAGTAATACTGCAGTCAGTGCTGGGACTTGCTGAACGCTAAGTTAGGAATCTGGGATAAGTTTTCAAATTGACCTGGGAAATACTGAGCTTGTAAGTGGTCTTGACCTGTTGCATTCAACACAAACCTGACTTGATTATCAGGTAGCGCAAGAGGTGGATTTTTATAGCTGACACTAAATTTGACATGAAACTGACCCCTAAATATCTTGAGGTTTTAGAATGAAAGAAGGCTACAACTAGGGACCTGTATTCATAAGGCCATCTAATGAAACAGCTCAAGGTCATTTACAACTGCTGTTTTTTTTTTCCAGAGTGATTTTCACAGGTCTTGGTCTAGAAACAGACTGTATGTAAAGTCAATGAGACCTTAAAAATCCAAAGAACAGTTTAAATGTAGCAGTGGGGAAAGCATGTTCAACTTCAATGCTCCTTCTCATCACTGAGACTATAGGTGATAAGCCTTCTGGATTTCTTTTATGGAAAAATAATAATTTTATTAGCCTTGTGCAGTGGCTCTGCACAGACGTCACATAGGTGTTTATCCTGTTGTTCTGGATCAATTTAAAGCTTTTTGGATTGAAATATAGCATGGTCTTGTGGAAGTACATTCATGGTTGCAAGGTTTGTATTTAAAGCTAGCCACTGACCCTTGTGGGTGAATAGCATTCTTGAATACCTTTTGCTTTGGAGCTGAACTATCTGGTATGTGTTAGGAATGTCTATTGAAGATACTAAACCCAAGTATTTGCTTTCCATAGTTATCTTATTGCTATCTAGGTGTGATGGAGTTTCTAGCTGTTTTGAGGAATGTCAATACTGAGGTGACATATTTTCAGTGAAAACTCTTAATCAAATGTTACTTGATTTTAACCTAGATTGGGTATTTTCATGCTGCTGGCAAACTTGTTCTCACCTGTGCAACTGACTCTTGTTGAATGCATTAGAGGCTTACACTGAGAGCCTGTGCTGTCTACAGTAGATTTTAACAAGCACTACACTTTACAAAACAAAGGGAAGGATCCAATCACTTAAATGAAGTAATGAAGGGACAGAAGAGCAGAATGTTCAGAGCTGCTTAATTCGTCTCTGAATGTCCTAACATCACCCTTGTGTCTGTGTGTGGTAACTTAGTACAGTTATAAAAAGCTTTGACTTATTTGTGCCTTCTGTTTTAAGCAGTGAACTATCAACCTGATGGACCTGTTCCTGTAAGCAATGGTAGCTTTGCCTTTTATCCAGCACAGGCTAATGTTATTCCCAGACCCCCACAGCCTTACCTCAACAGTCGTGGGTCTGTCAGAGGGTCTGCTAGAGGTGGAAGGTCACTGGCTAATTCGTACCGCTCCCCTGGTGGTTACAAAGGTATGTCTGTATTTACTATCATCCTGAAGGTGATCTCATGTACTGCCAGTAGAATGGGATTTAACACAATAGTATTAATGTTCCATGTGTGAAATGTCTCAAAACAAGACTTTAAGGGCAATGTGTGGAGAATGGGGCCCTCTGTTGTAGCATTTAAGGAAGTTCATTCTGACTTTTATTGGGGGTTTCTGTACTTGAGATGTCAGGCCAAATGGCACAGCAATTTCATAGCTTGCCTAATTATGAAGATAGAAACTTTCACTAATAGCTTATTAGATTGTCATCAGCTTCAGGTTGTGGCCTTTTCCCCTTTGAAGTGGAAAGGCACTTAGTCTGTGATAGGTGCTTCAGTTGTTGGGCTGAGCCTGCTCAGTACCTTGTAGGAACATGTACCAGATGATGAGTTTTATAGTTCTGGCTTAACAGCAGTTCAGGATTTGGTGGTGTCAGGTATGAAATTACTTGCAGCTCTGCTTTGGTAGTTAAATAATAGCTTGAGTTAATAAGTTAATGGCTAAAAAAGCAAAGTAGTATAGTATAAATAATAATGTATAAAATATAAATATAAATGTATGCCAGTAATAGCTGACAAGAAAGTGTTTCTTAATCCCATTTCTGGATTTAGCAAGCTTTTCAGCTGTTCTGTGACATCCCATTAGTATTACAGGCAATGGATAGGGCCTGATGCTAATATATTTAAATACACCATTTTGATATAGCCACAGTGTGTAAGTTACGAGTAGCTAATGAAATGCATTTGTTTTAGTAGTAAGGTTCCTAGTCAATGCCAAATATAAGAATAGCTCTATTACTCCATAACTTAATGTATATAATTGCCAAAAAAAGAGCTGTAGTTATATTCTGGACTTGTACTGTAACTCAAACAATGAATGATACTAATAATAAACTTTATTTGAACAGGTTTTGATGTTTACAGAGGTTCACCTTCATTAACTAATGGCAACTATGGCCAGCTACAGTTTCCTGGTAGAGATTATGCTGGAATGCCGTATTCTCAGAGGGTGAGTATTGACTTTATTTCCAGTAGCCTTCCACTGTACAGGAGCCAAATCTTCTAACAGGGCTGTTTTTCATTATCTAAACAGGTGAACTATTACTTACAAGCTAGAGCTTAGTTTTGTTTCACTTTTTTGGAATGGTAGACAGCAGCTGAAACAAGTCAGTTCAGACAGGTAATATCTCTGTATGACAGGTTGATTTTAGTCTGAGAGGGATCTTTGAAATGCAAACAGATGGTAAATAGCATAGTATGAGTCTGGTCTATTATTTTAAAAGTTGGTTCACTAAAATGCCTCTGTAATGTAGAATAATGAACTCCTAAATGGACTGGCTGACAATGTGGTTAGAGAAAACAACTCCATAAATAAAAAGTAAGAAGGCAGAGGTTCCTAGTGTGAGGAATGTTGTCAATGTCTTCTGTGCAGGCTCAGAACAGACTTGAGATTTAAAGGTATTGCTCAGTATGGACTCAACTGAGTCCATAGTTCAGAAGCTAAGTTGCTACAACAGTCATCAATGTAGATCTTTAATTTCATACAAACTATCAAAAGTAATTTTTCCACAAGTAAAGCTGTTTATCTACACCTTGTTTCTGAACTGTCATTGTCTATTCTAGAGACCGAATTCATTGTGCAAAAAAGTGTATTTGCGTCACATGAGTTCAGATTTGCTTATAGCCATATTCCTAACACTTCTCTTTTAGGATGTTAATTACCAGCAGTGCTATAAACGAGGTGGGATAAGTAGTGGTCCTCGAGCAAATTCAAGAGGTAAGGCCAACATCAGGCCCCTAGTAGTCCAAAATGTGCTTGGGCATGGCAGCTGGGGTGTTACAGGGAACAGTGTGAAAAACAGAATACCATCACCCACCTAAAAGATCAAGCTTGGTGTAAGTTAACCAAGCTTAGCTGGGGGCCTGAGTGCTGTTCTTCCAGAACACTGCACAGCAGAAGATTTAATTGCACTATTCTCAGTCTGGAGTCTTCATGTCAAAATTTTGACACAATGGTACCTGATTGAACTTCACAAATAACCTGGCTAGGAAAACACATATGGGGTGCTTCCCTGTGTTCAGGGAGGATGCACTGGTTTTCTCTCATTAATTTTCTCTCACTTATTCTGTATAGGCTATCACATCACAGGGACTTTGTAAAATAATTTTTTCTATGAAAATTTACTCAGTAATACAGGTTTACTCTGTATTTCCATAGCAGATGATAAAACCTAAAGAAATAAATAAGGCTAGTTGAGTCCAAGCATGAATAGCATGTGTTTTCAAGAGTTGGAAACAAGAGGAATTGTTTCTACTGTATGTGCTGGAAGAAGATAGGCTTTCAGTGCTACAGGTGAGAAGTGAGATGAAGAGTAGCTGTACATCACTATTTTAAGGATTAAAGGGAGTTTATGGCATATTGTGGAAGCTGTTTTAGAATAAAGCAGGTCATATACTAGCTTGAGGGATGATTCATAGAGTATACTTCAGAAGGGAACTAAATATAAGATCATGGTGAATTAATAGCTGACAGAAGTACTCATTAGCATTAGCATTTCACAGCAATTTCACATATTTTGTGTTAAGGTGGTTTTTTTTCAGTGGAAATAACAATGGTTTGAAACTTGAGTATGACTGCTCTAAATTTCTCAGCTCTATTAATGTTTTCATTCTAGATCCTTTTAACTTGGATATTTGAAAAGATTAACAGCTTTCTTTTGGGAAGTGAGGTGCAGAAAACTTAAAAGCAATTCTAGTTTGTCAGACTTAAAATATTCTAGAATCATAAGTTGAAAAGGTCTACTAGGAATGCATCTACAGAACAGTGTTGAGTAACACGAAGCAAAGATTGAGATCTTGATGATGTTTTGGTTCTAACTTTCAGTGTTTTCAGCAATTACATTTTGTTCTCTCTCAGAAGGTAGACGTTAGTATAAGCTTTTTAAGCTGACATGTGATAGACTAAAGTGAAAAATACCGCAACATACTACCCTGTCCTACTTGGAAGTATAAGAAGTAATTTTTCGTAGCCCAGTTATGTCCCTTCCTGCTCAATGCAAGTGTGATGAATGTAAGCTATGCTCAAAGTTTTCTTTTCACTTTGACAACTTGCTGTGGCTCAAAGATCAATCTGCTGCAAAGCTCTACACTTGCAGCTTAAGATTATGTCCAGAGGCTTAAGGGTATCCTTCTGTTATAATACTTATCACTGCTAATGGTTCTTAACAGCAGGGTGGAGTGACTCTTCCCAGGTGAGCAGCCCAGAACGAGATAATGAGACCTTTAACAGTGGGGACTCTGGGCAGGGAGACTCCCGCAGCATCACCCCTGTGGATATGCCAGTGACCAGCCAGGCTGCCACCATACTCCCGGTGCACGTCTACCCGCTCCCACAGCAGATGAGGGTCGCCTTCTCTGCAGCTCGAACATCCAACCTGGCCCCTGGAACTCTAGACCAGCCCATTGTGTTTGACCTGTTGCTGAACAACCTTGGAGAAACTTTTGATATCCAGCTTGGTAGGTTCAACTGTCCGGTGAATGGTACCTATGTCTTCATCTTCCACATGCTGAAACTGGCTGTAAATGTCCCTCTGTATGTGAATCTCATGAAGAATGAAGAGGTCCTTGTGTCAGCATATGCAAATGATGGGGCTCCTGACCATGAAACAGCCAGTAACCATGCAGTCCTGCAGCTGTTCCAGGGAGATCAGATCTGGCTACGGCTGCATCGGGGAGCCATCTATGGAAGTAGCTGGAAATACTCCACCTTTTCGGGATACCTCCTTTATCAGGACTAAAATCCAGTGCAATGTTTACAAAAGAGCTGCTCCAAACACCTTGGTGAGGGGGGGTGGGACTAGCTTTGCACTTACTACTGACTTTATAGAGGATATGTGGTTCCATTATTGGGGGAAATGGTGGTCCTGTTTTGCAAGGTGAAATCATGGAGTTGGGGTACTGAATCAGCACTAATTTGGCACTTTATCAGTTGTGATGTAGCCTTGCTAATAAAGCTGTGAATGTATATTGTTTGCACTTACCCTAAACTGTATTAATGTCCAGCTTACTACACTATTGATTGCCTCAAGTATGGGCTATTCACAATGCCTTGTTGTGCCTCAATAAAACAAGTTAATATGCATTTTAGTATTAATCTTGCCCGTGGTTTTAATTTTAAGACATATCACTGACCTTTTTCCTGGTGTGGGGTGTACATGAATATTACACAGAACTGGTCTCCAAGTTTCAATAATTTAGGGTAATTTGTATTTAACTGGGATTGTTTTAGTTCCTGCTTAATGCCATTCTCAAAGGTGCTACCTTGATCAAAATGAATTCAAGAGTTAGCTACCTTTTTTCTTCCTAAAGGGCAAGAAATTACAAGTGCAATGCTACATACTTCTAATGAAGTACTTTTAAATACATGCCCTGTCAAAATCTAGCATGGTCATAACATCAATCCTTCAGTAGTGAATGAAATTCTTAAACCTGCAAACAGTCACTGAAGGGACTGGCTTACACTATTATTCAGCTGCAATAAATTTTTAAGTTAAAATTCAGCTTTATGAAGCATAAATGTCTGTGGCTTCCCCCCTGCATGAGACTTGAATCAGGTTTTAGTACAGGTTATTTCCTCATTTCACAGAACTGCTGGGGAACTTGGTATTCATAGTTGAAGCCTGGTGCTTGCATTTTACATCAAACCTGAATACAAATGCTAGGAAGTGTTTCTGAAATCCCTTTCTTAAAGCTCTTGGGGTTTTTGACCAGACTTCAGCACTCTTGTGGCCTGAGAACTGAATAGCCATGATGTATGTCGTTGTTCAAATACTAGAAAGAGTTTCAGTGTTTAAAATGGTTATATGATCTAGCAAGAAGGTAGGTCACTCCTTTCAAAAGCTTCAGCAAATTGTTTTAACAGTAGAAAGCATGTGCTCTGAGTGTACTAATACAGCCAGTGCACAAGCCTGACTGGTATATCTAAGACTGCATAGCTCTGCTTCAAAGTGAAAACAGCTGAGCTATCTGCTTATTTAAATAGAAGTAAAAACTTAAACTGAGTAAACTTCAGACCACTTAACTAGAAACAACAAAGCTGTTGTTTCTAGTTAAGTGCTTTCACAGCTTCCAAAACAAGTCTGGCATGACTTCATACATTTACTGGCATAAAGATCTTGATTTTGTTCCAAGCTCAGCTTTATTTTTCATACAGATTTTGAGGGCGATCATATTTCAAGTCTGGGTTTAATTCCATTAACAAATTTTGAGAGAAGCTGAGGTAGGACAAGCTTTGGGAAATCTAGTTTTTACCACTACAAGAAGGTCAAGCCTTAACTATTGTACACTAAGCCTGTATTTTGTGGTTTTAAACATGCTAGTTCTGACTTTAGCCAACAAAGAGGCTTATTTCTAGAATACCCACTACAGATTAAATGGCAGTTTAGCTAGATATGAGGTAAACATTTCATTTTCAGAGCTGTATCTTGTATAAGATGGATTTTTACATTCCTAGCTAAAAAGAGTACACAGTTACAGCCAGAATTGTGCAGGGAAGATGAAATAGAAAATCTAATAATATAATTCCCTGACCACAGGTCATGTAATGGATGTTTTTTTTTTTTGAAAAGTGAAGATTTTTAGCCTGAATCACAATAATCTCTACAGTAGTAGCTACTTTAAAATAAAATGTCTGGTTTTGTCCTGCTATTTTTTATTGAAAAGAACACATAGCTTGGAGAAATCTCATCCTTGGAATAATGAAAAAAAATGATTGATTTAATCCTGTGGGTTTCTCACATAGTACCTTTTTAGTTAGAACTGTTGGTTTTCACTGTGTTTTTGGCCAGATGTGAAGACAGGTTTTACTAGCCTCTGTTATGAAAAGGAGAGTAAGTACAACTGAGCAGGTACTGTCCTAAAGAAGGTTTCAGACTAGAAGCAATTCAAAAGGCTGTAACTGCTTAAATGCTAAGACTGTGTTTAAAAAAACTCTGCAGAAGACCTAGCCGAGCACTGTTTTTCCATATCCATGGCTGTCCAAAATCCACTGGTAGAAAGTTGCTATTCTGATCTCCAAAATAGCTAAAAATGTTGTCATGTGATTTTTCCATTATGATAAACACTAGTGTAGGGCTATCCCATTATGCTTCTAGACTAATAATAATTTTTGAAAGCTTCTCAAATTACTTCAGAATATTTCAGTGCCTTTTCTAGTGACACAGTTTTCGTCTAGTCAGTATGTCCAGACCAATGACCTAGTTCTTTATTCTGTTTCTGGGCAAAGCATTTAACAGGTGAGTTTCACAACCTGGAAATACTTTACTGTGTAGTTTTCATGTAAATACTGTCTGACAGTGTAAGTTGCATTTACACTCCCTTTTCCTCAGTAATTGTAAATAAAGTTAATTGAATCATAGCATTAGGAAAAATGCCTTAACTATATAAGGATTATAATTGGGTCTAATTAAAACATACAAAGGGGCATCATTGTTCTGATAAATTTCCTATTACTGTCTGCTGTGCAAATTGGATACAACCTAAATGCTCTCTGATTTACTTCTCTCATGCAGCCTGCTGAAGGTAAACTTTAAAAGTAAGAAACACTGTGTTTTCATAGTGAGGAAATTTCTGTTTCCTTCTCTTGACATCAATGAAATACTGGAACTACCCTGAAATGGGAGGGTGTAATGCTTTAGCTAGGAGAGAGTTAATTTTAATCAGAATAACTGGTATAGGGCTGTATTTTGGATTTGTGACCAAAACAGTTTTGATAACCCCGGGATGTTTTGGTTATTGCCCAGTGGGCCTTGCAGAGTCAAGGCCTTTTCTGCCTGTCACACTGCCCCACCAGAGAGTGGGCTGGGGAAGTACACGGGTTTGGGAGGGGTTAAAGCCAGGACAGCTGATCCCAAATGACCCAAGGGATACCCCAGAGCATTAGGGATACCCCAGTGTTTAGTAATACAAGCTGGGGGAAGGAGGAGGATAGGGGGCCTTTTGGGTTAAGGTATCTGACATCTGAAGTCACTATTACATGTGATGGAGCCCTGCTCTCCTGGAAATGGCTGAACCACCTGCCTGCCCATGGGAAATGGAGAATGAATTCCTTGCTTGGCTTTGCTTGAGCTTCTGCTTTACCTGTTAAATTGTCTTTATCTAAACCCACAGGCTTTCTCACTTCTGCCTTTCCAGTTCTTTTCCCTGTCCCTGTGTGGGGCTGAGCTGCCAGCTCAGGGGGGTTCAACTGTGACAAAGGCTTTCTTAAAGTTTTCGAAATTCTAATGGACTTGTGACTTTTGTGGGGTTTTTTCCAGGTCATGGAAGTGAGAGGAGACAATGAATAATCTCCCAGCACTGCCATGGCTGAATTCCAGCAGCTAAGGAAACCTCCATCCTACAGGCTGCAGTGGTGGTGCAGAGAATATCACTGCTCTGTCCTGCTGGTTAAATTTAGGTACCTTTTTGTCCCTGACTGCTTTGTTATCTACAGCTACTCCAACAAAATAGTCAGCGTGGGAGATGGCTTTGGAATTTTAACTGTGGTCAAGGGCTTGTGTCTGGAGGATTGGAATACATTTGGATCTGTTGCAGATCATCCTTGCTAGTTCTTTAATTAAACCTATACATGTCTTGTGAAGGATATGAAAAGTCTGTTGTGTATTATAATTGGAGAGATGCCACAGTACCATTACCAGGTAAAAATGAAGTTATGCACTTGTTCACAAGTCTCTGATCAACTTAATTTTCTCCCAACTTTCAAGTATTAAGAATGAAAAAACCTTACGCATTTGTATTTGTGGATTGAAAATTTCCTGGCAGTGTTGTATTTGAAAAAATAATATTGTGAAGTACTAATCTGTCTGGAAAGTATTAATTCATACAACTTTTGAGCCCTAGAGTAAGGTTTGAGATGTGATTGGTGTGGAATGAAGGCTTTATGCTAAGCACAAATCCAATCACTTTGTGATCATTAGTTATTGTTTAGTCATTAGTTTACTACAACAAAGTAAACCAGGCTTTGAAAACAGTGGTTTGCTTATAGCCTGTAGCACATCACCCAGAGGAGCGCTGTTTTCTTTCTCATGCTTTTTCAGGAGTGTGTTATTAACTACAACTTACAACCAGGTGCTGTCCTAAAGGGACTTGGTTGTCATGAAAAGAGAGGGGTTGTTCCATGCCAGCAGAAATTGTTAGGTGCAGCTGAGACCTCACCAGAGTGCATTTCAAAACCACCAAAAGTCAAAGGACTAATTGTAGGTAACCTGTAAGATTTAAGGCTTTTCAAGTTTTTCCCAAAGTTCTTGAATTTAATAGAGTTATTGTGATGGCAACTCTGTAAAGAATCAGGTCTAATTTTTGTTCAGGTCAAACTGCTTACATTGAAAATCCTTGGTTTCACAACTGAGTTTTAAAATAAGATTGTTTGTTCTAAATATTTTACAAAACTGCTATAGCACATCTGGAAAGCTTTGGAGCTTTAAAAAACCCACATCTTTGCTTTGCATTATATCCCTATCTCCCTGGTACTATATTTTTTTTTTCCCTTACTTGCATATTGGTGCAACTTTGATTTAATTTGCTTTAGTTTTTTTTAGTCTCTCACTTGTTCCTTCACATTGTATCTTCAGTCACCGGCAGTTAGAGAACTGACATGAAAAGTCTCTGAATTTTTACATCCGATTCTTTATTTGCAGAGTAGCAGAACAGATTTAGAAAACCAAACCAAAACATTCATTGTAAGTAGATGAAACACCAAATATTAACAGAATCTTTGCTCTAACAAAAAAGGCATATGAGTTCTTGCTTACAAGTAGTTGCTTTCATCCTGAAGCTTTCAAAGTCACATAAAAATATTTCAGTTAATGACTGAACTTATTTTTAGAATAACATAGTAACTGGTATCTGTGAAGGTTTGTGTTGTACAGAAAGAAGTATTGGGCATCCAGCAAACCCAGGAAACAGGTAGACTACAATGCTTGCAACACTAAAAGCACCATTTTAAATGTGAGAGATAAGTGCAATACAATTCTGAAAAACATTTTAGGAAGATGTTTAATACCCTTTAAATATATTCTGTTCTTTATTGATATGTTTTACATCACTAGCTCTACAGAGGTCCTTTAATAAATAAATTT